TTGTAGTAGCGAGTAAGAAGCACGTTCCAAGTCTGCTTCAACGAAGGGAAAGGGATACCTTGCTAAATCGCTTCTACTCCGGCCCAAAGATGGTTGGTCTTGAGGTTAGCCTCCTCCAACACCACTCGCCAATCCCTCTACGCCTTGGGAATGGTTAGAACCTTCTAGGTCTGCACATCCAAGCCATCTCCGTTCTGCCCAGCCTGATTGAATTCAAGCTCTGCAAAGAAGAAACACAATAAGATGTAGTAATCAAAACACAAAAAAAGACAAGGTTTCTCATCAGTGGCTCGCCAAGTGCTCGGAATATCGCCCTGGCATCTCTCCCTAAAGACCGCCTCACCCCTCACAAAGAAGTACCAATCCTTTCAGTTCTTGTCACTTGACCGAAGTCGATCACCAGGTGAGACGATCATGCCAGAGGTTGATCAGATATCGACACTTCTCCTTGTCGTTTTCCTCCAGGAAATACGAATAAAGCAGCTCATGCAGCCCAAACATAGCCTGGTTCTGTACACAAAGGTCCTCTAGTGCCATCAGCAACCTCCAATCGTTCGACATGATCTGAGATGGGCAATCATGAAATGGTTCAGCACCTCCCAAACGAGGCGAGGAAAGGGAAACCTCAGCCCGTCATGAAACCACTTCTCGTAAACACTCACCCAGCCTTTTGCCTCCCAGTCGACCCGTTCGTACGATCGTAGTGCCTTGATCTCGATCGAATCAAGAATGTGATACATTGTCCGGAGCCGTCACACATCATTATCTTTAAGCACGGGCAGATAATCCCTGCTTAGAATCCCACTGCCCTGTTAACTCGGCTCGTCCTTAAAGCCACTACTGGACGAGGATGGACTACCAACTCCTTCGGAGTCTTCCCCCCTCCCCCATTGCCTGCCCGAACCACTCGGATTAGCAGCACTCGTCCCAAGGGTAGCTACGTTCACACTGCTCGGTATACCTACCGGAATGCCTCCTTCGGGCATCATTACCATGGTCAGGGCACACTCGTACTCATTCCCAACATCTGCCCCAACCCCACTCGAACCATTCGACTTCAAACCAGACATTTCAACCTATCTGCTCGTCCCAACCGACCAATTCAACTCCACAATCCTAACTCCCCAAATCTTAAGTATCGGATAGCTACTCGCCCTGCACCGCCGACCAGCCTATCTGAACACAACCTTCTTGAAACCCGGAATCATTGTTCGACCTTCACCAACTACCGAGCTACACTTCTAGAACTGTCGTTCACGATCACTCGCCCTTCAACGCCGATCGACCTCTCCTAGTTTACCTATTTTGCCATTTACTTCTAAACTTCTCACAACCCTAAGTTAGATCCCTGACCAACCCTGACAATCGACCGACTTGGTCCCTAGCTTCGGCAACTACTTTGTCCTGTTCGCCCCAAGCGACCGACCTAAGTTCAAAGCCTAAACCTCTTTCTAATGACTTCACTCACCCTGGGTCACCGACTAACTACTTCAAACCAGGGGTAGCTGTACAACCTCCTGCTCGGTCTGGATGACCGACCACTTGTTCAACTTAACTCTCCGCACGATCCTCTGACTACTCGGTCGGGTTGACCAGGTGACCTACCTACCCCACTTGAAGTTGTTTCCTTTCAACCCAGATCAAACCTTTTCACTCGATTCGGTCAAGTAGATCGACCGAGCCGAGTCGAGGTACTACGTAACTCGTTTTTGTCTTCTATACTCCGTCCAAAAACCCGAAAACACCAAAAAATAAGGCAAATCACTGGTAACTCACCAGAAACTCGATATTCACACCTATTCTAAAAATCAAAACTCTAACACCTACCAAACCCAGACAAAATCCCTTAAAACTTCACGAAATCAAACCTAATCTCCCAAGAACTTAGCACAAACAAAGGAAAAAAGCAAAACAAACCAAAAATCAGTGCAAGAAGACAGTATTTACCGTGAATGAATCCGAAATCTGCAAAAGGGAACCACCGTTTACTAAAGGAAACTGGAAACGAAGAAAGCAGAAGAGAAAAGGAAAAATTGAAAGAGACTTAAGAAAAATGAATGAAAACGCAAAAATGGGAGACGAACAGTACGCTCCCTCGATTTTATGGAAGAAAACTGACAGAGGTGGACACGGGGCAGCTCGTAATTGGCCCAAGGACAGAGCAACTCTTCATTTTCCCGTCCTAAAACGAAGAACAGATCACCACCATACACGTGGCAGAGATCCACGCCACCTAAGAAACCGCAGCACCGTATGGTAGACACGCTAAATCGCCCTTCCTACCCGACTGACCTAGCACATTGCAACATGCTGGAGATGCACAATGGAGCCGACACACTTCCATGCTTCACATGTCCAAGAGATTCTCCTAGCCGAGGCGACTAGCCTGGAATAGTCTACCCTACCCTTTGCCTCAAAACGAGCGAGGCAAGAGAGGGCCAGGCTATTCGGTCTTCCCTGGCGGACGAGTGGGTACCTAAGGGTTTGTTAACACTCGCGCAACCCTTGGCTTAAATCAAACCGTTCAGCCCGAGCCTCCATAGGAACATTAGGCCCAGTGTAACCCATTCGGCCCAATGGCACTTAGTAAGGACAACCCTAAGGGATCACCCGAGTATCCTCCACGCGGTCAAGCAAGCCGGTTGAGTCGATTTCATCCACTCATTAGGCCTAATACATCAAGCGAACGCACCTTCAGTAGGTAAATTGTTTACTCACTCGACCTGGCATATCGATCGAAGCCACTTGTGATAGATAGCCTGTTCATTCCTGCACTCGGCCAGACACACCAAGTGGCTATATGTACACCAGATGTTTCACCTTGATACCAGTCCGCTCGGCCCTGCACACTGATCGACTACACCCTCTTGAGCTGGTTGCATAATCCGACTCGACGAAGGACACCGAGTGACTCTTAACCAGACGCCGTCTCCATCTGACCGATCAATTACTTACGGAGACGTGAGTAACTTCTAGAGCGATCGTGCCAGCAAATTGTCGACCGCGAAGGACGACCGTAGACGCCTCGCTCGATTCCTACTCTCTAAGTTAAGAATACCTTAACTCAGAGAGTGTGGGACAAATTGTTAGAGCCAAAAAATGTCCTCGGCCCAAATAGGATAACGCGGTGAGGAAAAGCCCAAGCCCAATCTTGATGCAGCCCAAGCCAGAACTCCTCAGATAAGGCCCATTCGGTATGAAGTACAATCATTCCAAACCATCTAGACCCAGGCCTTCTAATCCCAGTACACTTCCTGGGCCTATGGTCGAATTCAGAGCCCACGGTCACCTACAGATCACATTCCTACTCGAACATTAATAAGGTAGTCCATTACCATCCCAATTCCTCCAAGGTCCGTGTCAAAGTCATATTTGGACTCCTTTTCACGCCAGGATAATGGGGTCAAAGGATATATCCCTGGAGGAAACGGATTACTATGAGAACTCCTAATTCCACCAGGATTGGGAGACCAGACAGTCACTATTTAAACAGAGGCCAACCCTCTCACAAGGTAGATGACATTACACCTTCAGACCCCAGAGTTCCCACCTGAGAACTTCACATTACAGCCGTAGTCATAGTCCCCGACTAGACTTATGGTAACCTCTCTACTCCCTAGGCCTCACTAAATCATTCTCTTTCAGCCTTGCTGACTTAAGCGTCGGAGTGCCTACGGCAAACACTACCCTGGTGTTTTTCGTCGCTTCACGTTTGTTTCTCTACGTGTGCAGGTACAACAGATCGCTAGTGGCATCAATCTCACGGGATCAATCCCTCCTTTCGTACAAGTAGATTTTTACGTTTACATAATACCGAGAGTTATATATATATATATATATATATATATATATGTATGTGTGTGTTTGTATCCTTACCTAATAGATGTGTAAATTTGTTAACATAATAAGAAACTTTAAGTTAATTAATAAATTTAATTATAAAAATTTAAATCGAAATGACGACTGAGTTTATTATATGTATTTTAAATCAACATGAGGAGAAGTTTCTTCAAAGTTAATATATTTTGATGATGGATATCAATAAATTATATGATAATAATAACGATTTTTCAACTATTATCAATTCAATAATTTATTTACTTTTCTGTATTAATATCTCATAGAATGATTCTCGTTGGAGTACATATAGGGATTTTATGATATTTCATAAAATAGTATTATTAGCACCAAATTTGTATAACTTATAACCAACTTATAGACCATTTTATAATACCAATATATGTCGCATTTTGAAGATTGAGATAAATGATAAGTAAGTTTATTTATAATAATTCACTTTCATTCGATAGTTGGTGTATTGTACTCGATAATTGACGTATCAGAATTTCTTGATACTATGTATAATGTATGGGGGTCAGGGAAAAATATCGTTTGGGAGTAAAGGAAAACCTATTGAATGAGGAGGGCCAATGAAAAAATAATTTTAAAAAATTGCATTTTGTAAGCTAAAAGATTGAGGGGGCCAAAGATAAAAATGAAAATTATGGGACGAAACGATATTTTGTGTTTATGAAAATTTAAAAATTTTGTGGGACCACGGCTACTCTCTTGCTTATGTAATATGTCCACGAGGCAAATTTTAAGGGATGGTTACCAAAAGAATAATACTTTGGGTACTAATGGATGGGTACTAATTTGTGTACTAACTAAAGCATAGTACCCGTACTATGTATATAGTACGAATACTATGCTTTAGTTAGTACACAAATTTATACTCATCTATTAGTACCCATAGCATTACTCTTACCAAAATTACAATTCCCTATCGATACCAAGTAGAATAAAGTCATAATCCAGCACATTTAACTCTGACAGTGTGGCCCATGAAGATATTATCCAGCCCAATTAAACATATAAGGACCGGACGGGTCAGTCCAGCCCACCAACATTCATGTCCATCATATCCCTCCTCTACTGAACTGCCACGACCTCTCACTGAATCGATGTCTCCAGACAACTTAACAGTAACCAAAATAAATAAAATTAAAAAATAATAATGGTATTAATAAATTTACGCCACCTTACTCCTCACTCTCTCCTCCGTCACTCTCCTCTTCTTCCCAAACAACTTCCTTCTCTCAAGACTCGTTGCTTAGCCGCTGCTATGACAACAGCTGCAATGTCGACCTCTACCAAAAAAGTAAGTCGTTAGTTTTGTTTGTGATATTTTTTTTTTTGTTGCTTTTTTTTTTTTTTTTGGATTTTATTCGGATATGGTGTGTCGGTTTTTAGGTTTTGGTGCCGATTGCGAACGGGAGTGAGCCGATGGAGGCGGTTATAACGATCGATGTTTTGAGGAGGTCTGGAGCTGACGTGACAGTCGCTTCTGTGGAGAAACAGCTTCGTGTTGACGCCTGTCATGCTGTCAAGATTGTCGCCGATGCTCTCATTTCTGACTGCAGCAACACGGTTTTTGATCTCATTACTCTGCCTGTACGTATAGTTGCTCCTTTTCTTGCTCACTTAAGAAATTGAGTTTTATTCGTTTAATTATAAATTTATGATACATGGTTCTGGATTATACTGAATGATCATAGCTATATTAGGATTTTTGAAATGCTGCCGTACGGATAAATCCCTGTAGAGTTCCCGGAACGTGCGGTTTTTTTAATTCATAATGTCATTCCGGTAATGTTTATTCGCGAAATATGAGTTATATATAACATCATTTTGCTATATATAATCTGTAATTAGTTAAGATTACCTTTTTGGCGTTGGAATTAGCACCGTAATGTTGCGGGGCCAGTTCAGTGGTACTCCTTTAAATTACATGGTTTTCTAGTATTTGTTGAGTTGTGTCTCTTTTAATTGTTCTTTTGGTGTGTGTTTTACTGTAGGGAGGCATGCCTGGTGCTACCAATCTGAAAGATTGTGGAATATTAGAAAGCATGGTGAAGAAGCAGGCTGCAGATGGGCGGCCTTATGCTGCTGTCTGTGCATCGCCTGCGGTGGCACTAGGATCTTGGGGTTTGTTGAAGGGATTAAAGGTAAGTGTTAAACGACCATGCTTTACTTTTTGTATTCTTTATGGAGTTGCATTCAATATTGATGGCAGAGCTGATTTTATTTTTGACGATAACGATTAAGTTCAAATTTGTGGGGATGTTCGGTTTTGGTAGGCTACATGTTATCCAGCATTTATGGAGCAATTAGCTCCTGCTTGTGCAACAACCGTTGAATCAAGAGTGCAGCAAGATGGTAAAGTTGTGACAAGTCGTGGACCTGGCACTACAATGGAGTTTGCTGTGACACTAGTTGAGCAATTGTATGGGAAAGAGAAAGCTGAAGAAGTTTTGGGTCCATTGGTATGGACATTATCTGTTATTCTTCAATTAGTTTATTTTATTCTTCTAGAAATTGCAAAGTTATGAAATATGTGAAAAGTCCATGTAGAAAATTTCATTTGATTTATCTAATTGGAAGGTTATTGCATTAGGGATTGATTAGATGAAGTTGTATACTTGCAGTTGCATATTAAAGTTGGGAAAAAAAAAAAAAAGCTTATATAATGAATCGTAACTTGGCTAATGCATCTAAGTGTCACATTTCGACTGACCAAATTACTCTAATTTGGTTTTGTTTTTGCTAGCATTACTTGCATTTGAGTTTTAACCACATTGTGCTTGTGTCTTTCTGTCCGCTTGTGCTTAGGTGATGCGTCCTAACCATGGGGATGAATATACTATTACCGAGTTCAATCCAATACAGTGGACATTTGATAATTGTCCCCAGGTGAGATTGGACATCAAGTTTTTCATTTTTTTCCTTTTGCTTCTCTTTCATGTTTTCATTCATGCACATCTTGCATTACATAGAACTTTCTGTAGGTATAATGCTTGGCTTCATTCATGTGGTGGATACATAAGAGGTGGTAGATATATTTTTTAAGATCTCTCTGATAAACTTCAATTTATGATACAACTCTATTACAAGTAGGGGTGATCGGTTTCGGGTACCCTGCATTTTTTAAGGAACTGGCTGGTTTCAGTTCCTAAGATTTGGAACCGGCTGATTGTGGTTCTTAGAAACCTGGATCCGGAACATGAAACATAGGTTCTAGTTCTGGGTACCCGGGTTAATTTTAGTTACCCCCTACTTTTAAAAAAAATGACAAATACGCCCCGCAAAAAATTACAAATACACCCCAATGGTTTACAAAAATTGCAATTTAGTCTCGTTCTCACCCAAGTACTTGGACTTGGGTTCCGGTTCCGATTCCAGCACTGTAGGAACTGAAATCGGACTCAGACCTGGGAATTCTTGGTTCCAATTTTCCAACACCAAAACGGGACCCTAATGGGGCCGATTCTAGTTCTACTCTTTACCCATGCTCACCCCTAACTACAAGGGAGATATATAAGAGCAAAAAGAGGGGGAAGGAGGAGGAAAAATGAAAGGATTAAAACACTATAAAGGTAAAAGTTGAGGTTATGAAGAAGCTCAAAGAATGGGACATGTTTTTAAAGGTAATGTCCTGAAGATCCCTAATTTAAGCCCAATATAGAATCCCTTATATGTTAAATGCCTACTTTTCGTTTTTGGTGTCAAGCTCATCGTAACTTACACTAGGTCCAAATTTAACCTATTTACGAATCTTACAACTTTTGAGAATACTGGAGGTTTTTCTTTTTACTTTAGAACAGTATTTACCTCTGTTTTAAAACGAGGCCTGACCTAGTCGGTTTAACTGAGAACTGCCACTAAGTCGGGGCGGTCAGGGTGAAAAACCGGGGATTAGAGTTCACCCGGTTTGACCCCTAATTGGATTGGGGTTACTGTAGAGAACCAACGGTCAAACCGGTTTTAACCCAAAAATGGGTGAACTATTATTCCCCTTCCCCGACTCTAATTTTCTAAATCCCTTTGCCATTTTCAATTGGCGATCGAATCCCTTTCTTCAAGTGTCACTTTCTTCGGTCGACCACCACAGCCAGCGGCACTGCAATCGCCGTCTGATGAGTACCCATCTTATTTCATCTTCACTTCATCTGCTTTTGAAACTCAATATGCAAAACTTTTTGTCTTTGGACGATCCTTGAATCCTAATTTACTAAACGTTGAGTGAAATTAACAAAACAGAATCCTTTCGATTCGTAATCTTCAAAATCCTTAGTCTTTGCTTGATACTGGCAATCTATTGTGACGTTTGTCGCCTCCACGAGTTGGTTTATAAGGTATTCTTTTGTTTTTTTTTTTTTTTTTTTAAATAAAATTTGTAACTAATGCTATGTGTTGTAACTGTGATTTGGTTTGGAGTTGTGGTATAGTAGACACGGCGGAGAGGATTGTTTGTGTGGTGAGCTTGGGTATGTTTGTCGTAGTTTCGGTTCATGCGACGGAGAGTTCTGTTTTGGTGGTGGGTCTAGGCTTGGATTTGTGTGTTGTAGTTCATGTTCTTTGCCGAGTTCTCTTTCTTGCTCGTGTTCATTTGGTTGTTCTTGTTCTTCTTTGGGCTCTTGTTCTTGTTTTTCTTCTTTGTGCTCGTGTTCTTGTTTATCCATGGTTTGTTGTTAGTGTGGAGAGTGGTGAGTGAAGTTTAGAGAAGAGAAAAATAAAAGAGAATCTGAGAGTGAGAGTGAGAGTGAGAGAGTATGAGAAGTCCTGTGTTGTAGCTTTTAGTTAAGGATATACAAACAATTTCTTCTCTCCAGAATGAATAATACAGTAACAACACACAATTAGGTACAGCAAAATACAAGAGTTGACTAAATTTTTATTCACTTCTTTTTTTGCAGATTTGGTGCAAATATTACAATGACACATTCAAATTTAAACTCTTTAATTGGTGGCTTTTAAATTAATTTTTATAGATGACATCATGCTGATGTCGCCATGATGTCAGCATGCTGATGTCATCATAACATCAGCATGTTGAGGTCATCATAACATCAGCATGTTGATGTCAGCGGTCCGACTGGCAGGTAGGACCGGTCAACCCGTTACCCTTGACCGGGTCGGGTTTGAAAACATTGGCATTTTCTATTTAGTAGTATCATGTATTTCAAAACTAGTACTTTTTATTTCATTGGTTTTGCTTGACTGGTTGAATCTGGACAATTGGGAAGTGGGTTTAAGGGAAACAGATATTTAAGTAGTTAATTCTCGGGTGCAACTTTAATTAAACTGTAATCCTGCTGGGATTTGAACTGATGAGAAATTAGTTATCTTAATTTCTAAGCGCCATTAGCACTCAACCTGTATGATGGATGGTGGCTGATCCAGAATGTTTTTGCATTTAAGTTTGATTTTTGATACACATACTCGAAAAAGCAATATGACTTCTAATTTGCTATAAAAATGTTTTTGGTGAAATTTTGTATTTTCTGTCCTTTCAGATTCTTGTACCTATTGCCGATGGTTCAGAAGAAATGGAAGCAGTTATGATCATAGACATTTTGCGACGGGCTAAAGCAAATGTGGTAGTTGCCTCAGTCGGGGATAAACTAGAAATTCTGGCTTCTCGAAAAGTTAAATTAGTTGCAGATATGCTTCTTGATGAGGCTGCTAAACTTTCATTTGACCTAATTGTATTGCCAGTAAGTGTAGTTTTCATTCTTGTTTTGTAGTTTTTAACAAATCTTTTCTCAATGAAATTTTTGCTCATCTGCAGGGTGGGCTCGGTGGTGCTCAAGCATTTGCCAATTCAGAGAAATTGGTGAATATGCTTAAGAAACAGAGGGAATCAAATAGACCTTATGGGGCTATATGTGCATCCCCAGCTTTAGTCTTGGAACCCAATGGCTTGCTCAAGGTACTGTGTTTATCATACTTTTTAAATATTTCCCCTGATTTGGACCATCTAATTTGAACTGAAGAATGATGTATAATCTTGTATGTTTTTATGAATGTTGCACAACTGGATCTTATCTGACATTGCCAAGTAACCCACAAATTAATTAAAATTTTGCTAGCTAATATACAAACTGAAAACTGCTGCAGTGTTGTAAATTGATTACCGAACCGAGTACATGTTTCCTGAAGCCGTTGTGCTTCCTTTTTGTGTTTCATTCTTATGTAATTGTACCTTCAAGTTCTGAGTTCGTCCTTTATTATATTCCAACATCAAATCTGTACATGTGGTTCAAGGTGAATGTTATTTTCTGTATAATTTTCTCCCAAATGAAAAATATGTGTTTTACTTTGATTCAGGGTAAAAAAGCTACAGCTTTTCCTGCAATGTGTGACAAGCTGTCTGCTCAGAGTGAAGTCGACAACAGGGTTGTAGTTGATGGCAACCTCATTACTAGCCGAGGGCCAGGAACTTCCATGGAGTTTGCACTGGCAATTGTGGAGAAGTTTTTTGGACGCAATAAAGCACTAGAGCTTGCAAAGGTAATGCTTTTCTGTCGCATGTAGAACCTATAAGACTGTTTAGCATTTACAACCTAGTTACTAGTGAATAAGAGTGTTTGTCTCTACCACTACTGAGTATCCACGGGACACTGATGTGGAAAGCTGAATTCATATTTGAATATGGATTCACATTGCCGTCATGTACAACAGCAGTTTGTTTATAAATAAAAATGAGTTTTAAGGACTGAGAACATAAAAATTCTGTGTCATTCTTTTTTAATGGCCCTTCTATCCAAGAAGTCTCTTATTCAGCCTTTGTTTTTAAATAAAGAAACTTAGTTTGAATGTTTAGTATGTTTTGTTTGAACTGAGGGTGTCTTAGTAAGAAGAATTAATTTTCTAATGTTGTGTTTTGATTCAGCAAAGGACAGATGACTTGTTTGAATTTTACGTTCCGCTTTCATAAGCATGTTGACATACATTTAATACTTCGAAAAGATGAAAACAGGTGGTGGGATTTTTGTTTATTTGCTAGTTGCTACCAAATTGAAACAAGAATATATATAAAGCTTCTGCAATTCATCAACATATGGGTATTGTTTAATTTGTGGACAGCTTGTTTTTATATAGTTTTGGTACTTTCAAACAAAAGAATGATTACGATTAAACAATAGAGTAAGTAAATATTTAAAGTTTCATTTGTCAAAAGTCTCTGCAATTTGTGACTAGTGGCATCCGCACTGTTGTTACCGTGTCTCAGCTGTTTGAACTTTGACATCCGAGACTTCTAATTTGTGGGTCTTGTCGATGTAGACTTAATGGCAAAAGTAACATGAATAAAGCCATCTTGTTGGGAGCCCACTTTCCCACTTCATGTTTCGAATGGCTTGTTAAGGTCCCAATCCCCATTAAATTATAGTTGCATTTGCAGAAGGTTGACATGTGGGTATTAGATAGAAGTGATTAAAAAAAAGCAGTGAAGATCTAATCTTATTATATTTGAATTTAAAAAGTTGTCAAATGGGTCATGTCGTGGGATCTAATCTGTAAGATTAAAGTTAATCTATGGAGTAAACGATTATTTTTCACCGAAATAATGATTTAATGATATTTTTTCATTTATAGATTTTTAAAATATTATTTTATCATCCAAATTTATATTATGTTTATAATTTCGGCATCGTTGTGATTCCGCACTACCATCATTCTCTTTTCCTATCATCATTCATCAAAACTTTTTAAACCATACTCTCGTTGATTTCGTCAAACGTAAAAAATCGAGCAATTAAGGTTTGTGCAGTTGTTCTTCTAAAGTCAAATTTTGATCAATTCCAACTAATATTTTAATAACCAACTCGGATGAAACTCGGCAAAGTTGTTGGGTCTTGAGTTGATCGGTTTGATCGTCTGGTCTAGGGTTGATCAGTTTAATCGGTTTGACTGTTGGGTCTAGGGTTGATTGATTTAACCGGTTTGACCTGAGTGACAACTTTTAAAATTTAGCAAATACATTCCTAAAAATTTGTTAAGTTCATATAGGTTTGAAATTTTGCAAACATACCCCAAATACAAATCAGTCGACAACTGGTTGGCGGCAGTGACACCTCAAATGGAATCCCAATCATCCTTTGAGCCCATTCCCCATAAAATCTACTGAAGATTTGATCGAAATTGGTTCAATTTTGGACAGATCTCACTGACACCGGCGTCAGCAACCCTCCCCATTACCTTGAAAGTACTTGCCTCTTCCTCCCGACCAAAACCCACTTCACTCCATCCCTGCTAACCTTGCTAATCGCTAGCAAAAGTCGGCTGTTGTCGTCGCCAATTTTTTTTAATTTTCGGTCGATTCACTCATCGGAAATTAGCTCCATCACAACCATTGCACTCACCGACACTTTCTCTTCAAAAGCCCCAACATCTTGGCCTTTAATTGTTTGCTGATCATTATCTTAAATTCTAGGGTTTTGGGTGAATAGGGAATATGTTAACCTAACCCGATGACGCTCTTAGGTCTCGGTTAAACCGGTTAAACTGGCCGGGCTAAACTGAGTTTTAAAACAATGATCCCAACTACCAAAAAATTTACAGTGATGCTACAGACACCAAAAATGGGTTCCGAAAATTTGCATCGAAATACGTGGCCCTTGACTCGGATGTCGCCACGTAGGACACAATAGAAGACTTTCGTAAATGGACGGTCGTCCAACGTTTTCGGACAATGATGGACGACAATCCATAACAAATATTTAAAAATAAACTAAAAATCAATAGACCACCATCCAAATACTAGGGACAAACATCCCTTTAATATAAACGGCCATCCAAATTATATGGACGTTTGTCCATCTAATGTGGACGGCCGTTCACAATAGATGGATTGGCGTCCATTTAGTGTTAATTTTTTTTTTTTTAAAAAAAAAAAAAACATTAGATGTACAACAATCCATCTAGTGTGGACGATTGTCCTTATAAAAGGGACGGCCGTCTACAATAAATGGACTGATGGACTGATGTCCATTTAGTGTTAAAATATTTTTTATAAAAAATAAAAACAAAACATTAGAGGGATTGATGTCTTTAAGCAATACAATTTTTTAAAAAAAAAATTAAAAAAAAACAAAAAATTAGATGGACGCCAGTCCATCTGGTGTGGACAGCCGTCCATTGGACTGGCGTCCATATTATGTTAAAAATTTAAAAATTTTAAAAAGTTTTCCAAGACATTTAGGGATTTCAAAACTTGCATAAGAAACGCCGAACAACAAAAACACCATATCTACTGCCGTTGAGGCCACACTATCTGCCGTCGTTGAAGCCACACTATCTGTCGCCGTTGAAGCCACATTATTTGCCATCGCTATTCACTTCTTCATCGTCATCATTTGGACTCCGGCTGTGAGTATTTTTTTATTTTTTTATTGAACAAAGTTGAAAATTGTGTTAACTTTCATTTGTTGTATGCAATTTAGAGATTTACAAAATGTGTAATTGTTTGTTCCTTAATGGTTTTTCTGTTACTTTGCTGAAAATTGATAGTAGAAGTTAAGGGAGCCAGTTGATAGTAGAAGTTAAGGGAGTCAATTGATAGTAGAAGTTAAGGGAGCCAATGTAGGTGTAAATCTGTGAAAGCTAATACCACATTTGCATCCGCTATTCAGATAGGTGATCCAGTGTCCATAGATAGAGCGATTTATGCATTGAAAAATTGTAATGGGATTGTTGAGGAAGCCACTGAAGAGGAGTTGATGGATGCAATGGTTCAAGCTGATTCCACTGGGGTGTTTATATGTCCCCATACTGGAGTGGCTTTGACAGCTTTGGTTAAGCTTAGGAATAGTGGGGTTATCAGCCCCACTGATCGGACGGTGGTGGTTAGTACAACTCATGGGTTGAATTTTACCTAGAGTAAGGTTGAGTATCATTCAAAGGAGATCAAGGATATGGCTTGCAAGTTTGCTAATTCACCTATGCAAGTGAAGGCAGATTTCGGGGCTGTAATGGATGTGTTGAAAAATTATTTGGGAAATCATGCTTCAAAGTAGTAGGCAGATTTATGGTTGGTTTAAATTTTGTTGATGCATGTTGTAGGCAAATTGGTTTAAATTTTGTTGATGCATGTTAGTTCAAAGTAGTAGGTAGATTTATGTTTGGCAGAGCTGGTGATGATTGCAATAAGTTGAGTTTGGTAAAGTTAGGAATTTGAGAATTGTATTCTTTGTTGCTGAGCTCACATTTGCGGGGGCTTATTGTGGGTTGTTGTGCATGTTTTGGTCTTTGGTTTCTGATCATGTGTGAGTATTAAAGCTCTGAGTTTTATGCTATTGAAACAGACTAAAATACTTGCAGTTTGTCAATCGAGAAATGCAGATGCCCGAGGAGGTAATATAATCTTCTGCACTTCCAGTTAGCCTCTCCATCATTGTAACACCATATGATATTTCTTCTCTTTCTTTGGCATTTTCTGCCACTACAATAGACACAAAAAGATTGTTGAGTGCATTCAAAAAATATGGAAAAGAAATCTAAATTAAGTGAAATTTCATTTATGGGATGAGGGCTTTGTTGTTTACTTTTAATAGTATCTTTTTTACTACTGAACAATGGAAGGGAACCCTAAGTACAAGAATGATGGGTCCCTTCAGCCATTGTTACTCATATGTGCAAAAGGAGGACAACATGAAGAAACAGAAAAGCACTAAAACAATAGCAGTAGAAGATTATATTACCTTCTAGGGCATCTGTATTTCTCGATTGACAAACTATAAGTACTTTAGCCTGTTTCAATATCATAAAACTTAGAGCTTCAATAAGATGATTACTTGACATGTTAGATGTCATTTGAAGATGCTCCGTTGCCATTAAAACTGATGTATGTGGACAAACATAGTGTGTTGGGCACTATTACTTAGTTTATTGTTTTTATCTAGAAAGGCATCATTATTGTTGTTAAAGTCCAATTATTAGGGAGGCTTGAAATTCATTTAAAGCTCAGCCAAATGAACCTGCTCAGACCACACCTTATCCTGGAGTTTCACAGTAGCATCATAACTTTTTTCATCAGCTTACCAGTGTGCCTTAATCTGCCATTCCTTCCTTGACAAACACTACCTCCCTAGTAATTGGACTTCAACAGCAAGTTGTTTGTGTCTGTTGTCATTATATTGAAAGACACATCACAAACACTTGAAATTGTAGACTTTGAAGAAGCAAACAAATATAAACTTCAAACATGATTTTTCATTATACTTGTCTTTTTTTAATATCTGCAAAATTACTTATGAATATGCTTTTTCCAGGAAGTTGCTGGTTTTAGAAGAAAACAGAAAATGGTAAGAGCAAAAAACACAACCATTCCTCATGGAGGCATATCGTCATCTAGAGTTCAATTTTAAGACGTGTAACATAAAAAGCAATACAAAGAGATGACAAAAAGAGATATTTGTCTTGGAAGATGTTTGGATTTAGGATTTATAGCAAGTTTGGGTTTAGGTGATGAGATTAATGGTTGGATCCGTAATTTGAAATGGGACCAATTGGTGAGTATTAGATATGACGGATATAAACATTTGATTTATGAGTTTTTTAGTAGTTTGGAAGTTGTGGAGACAGGTACTGATGATTTTCTGGCGTATACAATGTTTTTTAGATTAAAGAATCAGAATTGTGTAGTGAGGCCACAGGACTTAGCAATCTGGATAGGGATTGATTTTGAAGGTTTGGATAATGTATCTAGAACGTGAGATTCCAAACAAGCTTAGACGGATGT